CGTGCGGCCGAGGGTCACGCACGTTTCGGCGCCTAGTCCAGAGGCGTCTAGCCGTTGTGTGAGTTGTATACGTGCAAAATACGCACACATTTTTCGCCCGTTGCTAAACACTGCCCATTATGCGTCGCGTCTCCCTCATCCGAGCGAGAAAGTACGTTTTGGTTACCTCCCACCGAATTCGATGCTAATGCCATCTAGCGGTGGAAGTCATCGTCCCCACTTGGTGGTGAACGCCGTTAAAAACAATTAATCAGAACTACTAGGAGCTATTCGCCTTCTGGCGTGCAGTGCAAAGAACACGGTCCGTATTCCTTTTTACGTCGATGTCGAACATCGATGTAAATGCTGTTTGCGATTGTTCGTAACGTTGTCAAAAAATCATGGATCCCGAAACGTCGTTTCCGGATTTCCGCTCGGCGAAGCAAGCATATATCGTCCCGCGATGCAAGTATATTCCCGAAAATAACCCGAAAGATAGGAGAGGAGACCCCGTAAAATGGAATCTTGCTTATATATGTGTATATTCGATTTAGTCAGGAAATAGAGAATGTAGAAAGAGCGAGAGAGAAGTCGGCGTTCGATCGTGGTTTGCTGGAAAGCGATAATGTGGATATTAAAATATTTCTCACCCTGGAGAAAATCTTCCCGTTATAAATGGGACAATTTCGCGTATCTGATAATTAAACGTTCTAGATTTCATGAATAATTCCTGCGCCCGTTTAATTTCTTCTCGTGGTATGCTAATATTCGGATTTCCTACGTTTCGATATTCTTACGGTCACTTGTATATTTCGATTGCACGAGCGGAGCAAAGGATATAAAATTTACTCGAGGTAAAAAGGACGCGAAAGGAAGAAGGAGATTCGTGTTCGATATGTCCTCGTGTCCTCCTCCTGGGAGTCACCACATTACAGGGTGTACCTTTCGACTTATCCGAAACGAAAGTACATTGCGGACCGATCCTCGAACACCCTCGACAAGTCTGCGGAACTTTTGCGGCCACTTTTGTAAGCACGACTGCTTCGACATTCGAAATCCAAAGAACGTGACTCGAAGATACAACGACTCCGTTTCTCGTATCTTTTTTATTATTTCTCGTTCCTCTTCTTCAACCCCTCTATTCACCTCCTGAACGCGGACAGACTTTAATACCTCTATTTGCCCATAATTCATAAGACTCAATAAACATTGCGGACGTAATAACGTCTGTGTTGTTAGTAAACCATCATGAATTTTGTTTGCAATTCTTTTCCTAAATCGAAATGAAAATACCGACGCACAAAGGGACCATTTCTTTTTTTATTCTGGTATTATATATGGCATCTTTAAAGAGAGTGATATTCGTTGGACAGTACTTAATGTATTTGGAAACACTCGACAAGCTCTCTAATAATCGGCATATCACTGAAGGTATTTAAATGAGAAAATTCTCAATTAAAATGTTGCGAAGTTAATTTCAATTTTAAACATTTAGCCGATACAAGACCTTTGAGAGTTCTTTCCCGGGCGTGGAGATGAGAGAACATTGACGTGCAGAATGGTAAAAAAATGTAACGCGATTAATGGTTCATTGCTCGCGGCGTAATCTCGTTGGCGTTTCTCGTGGGGCGAAAATCGCGTTTGGCGGGAAAAAGCGGCGTCTTTGTGCATTACGCTCTCGTTAGGTACTTTAGTGGGTACTCGCGTCCGTACTTTCGAAGAAAGGGCGCGTCAAATTGAATATACCTTGGGCCGATTTTAAAGGGACCGAGAAACGATCTACGGAGAGGAAAAGTTTTCCTTTAATCGAGGGTCCCTTCGACGTTCCTCCACCCGGGGATAAATTATGCACTCGCTTTCGCTTGGCAATCCGGCTCTCTTATTTTCACCGTATGTCAAGTTAACCCTATCGATCTTAAACTCCGTTGCCGACGCCTCGTAAATTTCGCGTCCCACCGAGCGAAAGCTTTTACGCTACATGGGAGTTTTTGACTTTGCGGACGCTGCTTTTGTCCCCCTTTAGAATCCCCTAGCTTTTCTGGTAAATGCGGCACGCACGGCCAAACTTGTTTCCCGAACTATTCCGGCTAAATTACGCGTAATGAAATCGTATTGCCCTACGAGAAAACTATTCCCGGTATCCCTTGGCTTTGACACAAAGCTGCATGTTACATGAAAGTTAAAAAAAGGTTATCGGCAGGTTGACCCCTCTGATGTGACATTTTACATCCTATACAAAGCTTTAAGGTGAAGTGAAACACGTCGAGGAACTTGATCAACGTCGATAAAGACGAGTTTTCTAAATGCCTACGTTGCCGACGTTCGTTTTTATATTGACAGCTGTGTCGAATTATATTGTGTATTGTACCAAATGGCATATTCCACCTGTCGTTTTCGTACAATAATTATGAAGAAATCGAAGTAAAACTCCAGAAATCCTCTGGATTCATGCCTTCTGGGCCCTAATTGACTGCGGAGGGACCCCCTGCGCCATCTGTGATTTCCAGGTCAATTAAATTTTCACTCCGAGACCTCGTATTACCATCGTTTTAGCAAAGAAGCGTATACAACACTTTTTTTGCCTTTATCCCGTTCAAATGCGAGTTTATCGATTACCAGAGTGTTCTAAATTGTCGTAAAATTGTCCTGACCCTTTCGATTCTCATATCAGAGCCTTCGATAATTGTATATCGATCAAAATATGAGAGCTCGACGCCATTTTGGTTCTGGTCTGGACCGAGTTAAAGATTTTTTTTGAAAGATCCAAATTTGTAATGTGTCAGGACAATTCTTAGCTGATCAGGAGTGATGTGTCAAAGTTTTGGACAGTTTGGTCTAATACCCTTAAAAAAAAGTGTTGTATTCGAATCGACTGATTTGAAGGATGTTTCACTTCACCTTAACGTTCGATAAGGAGTATAAACGCACGTAACGATTGTACCCTGTCGTACAGGACGAGGAGTTATGTTTCCTCGCTGGAACTCCCTTCTTACAAATGTTAACAATTCCGTTCTCGACATGTTCGAAGGAATTAGGTTCATAAATTACGACAGAAAATTAAAAAAATCTTTTGACAACGAGCCTCAGCACTTTTTCGAGAAGTCCCCGGACGCAAAGAATGGTTCGCGAGGGTATTGCTATCACTTTGTTTATACAATACAATCGAAATAACCGAAAAAAATTCATCCAAATAACATTCTCAAAATTATCATAATTTGCGAAGTAAGAATTACATGCAGCGACATCGGGTCGCGAAGAAATAAACGCTTCTTAAGCGAGGGGTCGAAATTACCACCGATAAGAACGTGTGACGGATAGAAAGATATGGGAAAGAGTTCCGTCAACGGGCCGCGGCCTTTTCCCGCGGTTGTCCGGCGGGAAAGAGCTGCGGCTTCCGAGCGGATTACGCGCCGGGCACTTAGGGGACGAAGGGCGGTTCGAAGGAAAGGGCGCGTCAAAGCGAGCGTCCCAGGACTCGATTTTAAAGGGGCTCCGAGCGGAAGCGCCGGGGACGGAAAAGTTGGGCTTAATCGAGCGACCGCCGCCGCGGGTCCCCCGCAGCGCGGACGCGCCGAAGCTGCCGGCAAGACCGAGATTAAATTGCTCCGGAAGCGGCGAGCGCGTCGCCGATCGGCCCGCCCCGAGTTTATCAGTGGCGCCACTGTCGCGCGGAGTCGCTTTTTAGTGCGCCCGTAAATCTCCCCGGGCACGGTTATAAATTTATACGCACGCCCGTGCGTGGGTCCGGGCCACCCGCGCGTATATTCGTCTTTGCTTCGCGCGGAGCTTTCGCGTTTCTGCATCCCCGAGCGAGACACGTCCGAGTGTCATGGCGGCCCGCGATATCGATACGTCCGCGGACAATGGCAAAGAATTCCGAAGTCTCCATAGAAGCCCAGAAGGATACGGAGGTTCGATTCTCGGTAAATAGTATGCTAGCCAACGGATGGCGGCGCTGTAATCATCTCTCCATCTCTCTTAACCTTATGGCGATATAGAGCGAATTGCATTCTTTCTTTATCTTACGCACTATATGTATATATATATATCTCTATCATATCACTTTAAGGTGAAGTGAAACATCCTTCAAATCAGTCGATTCGAATACAACACTTTTTTTTAAGGGTATTAGGCCAAATTGTCCAAAACTTTGACACATCACTTCTGATCAGCTAAGAATTGTCCTGACACATTAAAAATTTGGATCTTTCAAACAAATTTTTTATCTCGGTCCAGACCAGAACCAAAATGGCGTCGAGCTCTCATATTTTGATCAATATACAATTATCGAAGGCTCTGATATGAGAATCGAAAGGGTCAGGACAATTTTACGACAATTTAGAACACTCTGGTAATCGATAAACTCGCATTTGAACGGGATAAAGGCAAAAAAAGTGTTGTATGCGCTTCTTTGCTAAAACGATGGGAATACGAGGTCTCGGAGTGAAATTTTAATTGACCTGGAAATGACAGATGGCGCAGGGGGTCCCTCCGCAGTCAATTAGGGCCCAGAAGGCATGAATCCAGAGGATTTCTGGAGTTTTACTTCGATTTCTTCATAATTATTCTACGAAAACGACAGGTGGAATATGCCATTTGGTACAATACACAATATAATTCGACACAGCTGTCAATATAAAAACAAACGTCGGCAACGTAGGCATTTAGAAAAATCGTCTTTATCGACGTTGATCAAGTTCCTCGACGTGTTTCACTTCACCTTAAATCCAGTTTCTTTTTAACGCGACATTCACGGATAAGTTAAACTCGAACACGTCGGTTTGCATGGATTTATCGCTACGATTTATTGTGAAGCGTGCAGCTACCTTTAAGGTGACCCGAAACTGCGGGGATTTCCGATTGCTCATATTTTCTTTACGGCCCATACTTTTAGGCAGGGAAGGAGAGACTCGGTCGGATAGTTCGAAAGATATACGCGGACTTCGGGAAGATTCGCAGCTCGAGCTTGCAAATAGACCTGGGGGTAACTTTTTCGCGTAACTTGGTATCTCGGTACTCACCTATAACCGTCAAATTGACTTTGGAATTGCGCGTCTGTCCAATTTGGAAGTCGACGCGACAGCGATAGATGCCGGCGTCCTCTTCCTTGATGTGGTCGACGCCGAGCTCGGCAGGCTTCTTGTCGGGCATGAAATAAGCCCGATTCGAAAAGACCGTGTCGTCCGACCATCTTTCCGCGATGCCGAAGTCTCGGTCTCTCACGTCGACGCTAAAATACCGAAATTTAATTAACTCGCGTCGGGCGTCGCATCATTTTTTTTTGTCCACCCTCCGCGACTTACTTCGAGCTTCGCGGGGGGTGTTTATATCGTCGCTCGCGTAATTGCTTTGAGACCGTCCCCGGTTTTATGTAAACTTAAGGGGCCAGGAGAGACGTAACGAGAATCTGTCTGGAAACTTGTTTCTTCCCCGTGCAAATTAATTCCACGCAAGTATAATTTCTTCGAGACAAAACGCTCGAGGTTGACCCAAAACAGGTCGCGAGACCTGCGAAGACTGAAAACGGGGCTTTTATTTAAATTTTCTTCACCCCCAGACGCATCTTTCTACCACAAGGGAAGAAGGCTTTGTGATTTCAATTTTCTTCACTTTAGGAAGATTTCGGCACAAGAAGAGAAATTCAAGGGAAATTCAGAAGTTTAGCAACTAGTTGGTGGATTTAAAGAAAGCTTCTCCTTTGGTCCGGAAGGGCTTTGTCTATGGTCAAACTTCGTTCCTTTACCCCCCATGTCTCAAAACTATGAATGCTTGGACGTTAGATCAAAGCGTTTTGGGGAATTTCGAGAAACCACTCGAAAAGTCGCGAAACAAGGTCAAGAGTCTGTTTTGCCCGAAATTCGCTCGTGCGAGAAATTCGTAGGGTCGAGTAACGAGAGAAACGCGATTTGCGCGACTAATTTCCATTTGAAGGTAAAGAAGTCAGACAGAAGTAAGAAAAAGAAAGAAACGAGCTGACTTTAAAAAATGTCATATGACATTCGCATCCCTTTCAACGACTTCAACGACTTCGTGAAAACACGTTCTAAAATTCCCTCCACCGGTGGAATCAGTCTCAGCGTGAAGGGACTTCAATGCCATCGATTTTAATTCCACCGCCGAACTTGCATGATGTGAAACTGAAAATCGTCGTGTATTAGTTAAAGGAGGTGGGTCAGTTTAACTGATAATCCCGGGTGCAAAAAGTGTGGTTATCGATGGCAAGCAACGTATCGGCAAATCCGAGATATCGGATGCGAGTATCGGAACGGCCGTCAGATCAAAGGGAAATTTTCCGAAAGTTGTCGTAAAAAAAACAAGGTCGGGATTGACGTCGCGAGATCGGGTAAGTCGGGATGACATTAAGATTTCGTGCATTTCCCGGGGAGTTTTCCAAACTTATTGCGACCCGGCTGGATAAGCGGAGTTTCATCGGAGCACCTTGAGCGCTTGGTCGTAAGGCCGCTAAAACCTAAGTTATTCCTCGAAATGTCGCAGAGCCGGGCCCGGGTGGTCCGCGTCGCGGAAACCCCGACCGGGACAGAGGGGATTTTTCACGGTGATCCCCGCAAATCCCGAAATTGTATTATCGGGCCGCTCGTAAGCCTTTGGTTCGGACTTGGCCGGGCCGATACTTGCAACCCTCCCGCACCCTCCGGTCCCGGGGCATCGATCTTTCCGCTCACCTGTACACCGACGTCCCCAGGTCCTCGCGATACCAGAGCACGAGGTGCACCGAGTCGCCCTCGTGGGTCGTTGATATGTCGCAGGGAAGATAGGTGGGGTCTCCGACCAACGCCACGACGTGCGACATCGGGACTGCAAAAGAGAAACCATCAAACATTAGTTACACTTCCGGCTACCAACTTTCGACGGGTCTTTTACCCCCAGGATCAACCTATCCCCTGATAAGGTTGAAGCAGGCAAATTAACGGCAGGATTTGCACTTTTATGGGAGATGCTTACGAGAAATGCCGAAAAGGGAAAACAAAAATGCACTGTTAAAAATATTCATACAATCCTTGCATCGCTCCTTGGAGAAAAAAAAATACAAATTCGATATCTTAAAAGTAGGAATTTGTAGGAATACATTTTCTGTGACCGTCTAGATAAATTCGTAGTTGTAACACGTCGCGTTATAATTTTCTGAAATTGCGTGTGATTTTCTGAAATTGCGGGCAAATTAACGGCACGATTTGCACCTTTATGGGAGATGCTTACGAGAAATGCCGAAAAGTGAAAACAAAAATGTCCTGTTAAAAATATTCGTAAAATCCTTGCACCTCTCCTTGGAGAAAAAAAAATACAAATTCGATATCTTAAAAGTAGGAATTATTAGGAATACATTTTCTGTGACCGTCTAAATAAATTCGTAGTTGTAACACGTCGCGTTATAATTTTCTGAAATTGCCTGTGATAAGTACGCTTATGTACTAAATTTATTGCATATTATACACTTTATCTAAAAATACGTTATAAAATTACAATATTTTCTTTTTCGCGGTGTATGTAATCAACGACGTTGCATATGGAAATTCGCTTCGTCAAAATCAGTGACAGGGGAAAGATAAGTTTCCCCGCGGTAAATCGGAAAGTTTTTAATAATTAACAGTGCACACGTTGAGTTTACTTTTATTATCGCCGGCCGTCAGGTTCTCACGTCAGGAAAGTCCAAAGTGAAAATGATTAATATAACGACGCGGAGTCGCCGAGTGACGTCGCGACGTCCGACATGGCTACGGGAAACGGAATATTTCATCGCATACGCAGCTATCAAGTTTCGAGGGCAACTTTTTTCAGATTTAATGTCACATCGATCGGGAAAAGCTCGGCGTTACTTGACGCGGAGCTCAACCGAGAGCGGTTTGCCCGTACAGGAGGAGCTGGAAAAGGATTCGCTCGATTTTACAGCATTCGATGAAAAATTGCTACCGTAATCGAGTTGGGCGCGTTACTTCCCGGGGAAATGAAACCGCCACGTCGGAAGTTGGTACGTCTAAACACCTTAGACGTCTCAAGCGTGCGTTACCTAAGCACTCTAAGTACTATTATTTATATTTTTTAGTAATTACGAGTTGTTTCTTGCAGAAATTGACGTACGAAGTTATATGCAATGCACGTTAATCCTGATATATACATTTTTATTAATACGCATTTATCAGTTAATTCGTTCTCACCTTTCGACAAGATATCTTGCGAAGTGGTTTATACCCATCCGACGGCTTGGACGGGTAACAAATCATTTCACGAGATATCTCGTCCATGGGTGCGAAAGGATTAAGGGTTAATCACACGAGATGTTATCAAGAGGGGCGCGTTGAAATCCCCAGGCCCCCTGCGAATCAATTAATGCGCCACGTCTCTAAGAAATTATTTCAAGGTAAGAAATTATATTAAGGTGAAGTGAAACATCCTTCAAATCAGTCGATTCGAATACAACACTTTTTTTTAAGGGTATTGGACCAAACTGTCCGAAACTTTGACACATCACTCCTGATCATCTGAGAATTGTCCTGACACATTCAAAATTTGGATTTTTCGAAAAAATTTTTTAACTTAGCCCAGACCAAAACCAAAATGGCGTCGAGCTCTCATATGTCGATCAATATACACTTATTGAAGGCTCTGATATGAGAAACGAAAGGGTCAGGACAATTTTACGAGAATTTAGAACACTCTGGTAATCGATAAACTCGCATTTGAACGGGATAAAGGGAAAAAAAGTGTTGTATGCGCTTCTATGCTAAAACGATGGGAATACGAGGTCTCGGGGTGAAAATTTAATTGACTTGGAAATCACAGATGGCGCAGGGGGTCCCTCTGCAGTTAATTAGGGTCCCAGAAAGTATGAATCCAGAGGATTTCTGGAGTTTAACTTCGATTTCTTGATATTTATTGTTCAAAAACGACAAGTGGAGTATGCCATTTGATACAATATCCAATATAACTCGACACAGCTGTCGATATAAAAACGAACGTCGGCAACACAGGCATTTAGAAAAATCTTCTTTATCGACGTCTACCAAGTTGTGTTTCACTTCACCTTAAATCAACGCGTCGTATTCGATTTTCGATTCCGTTCAATTGTAATAATTATTTCAATTCGAATAGCTCGCGGATGTACCTCGCGAATCCAGATTTACTCCTCTCCAGCCGAGTTGGTGTCGACGATGTTACGAGTGCAGAAGTAAAAACGGAACACAAGGCGTGTCGTTAAATGGAGCCTCGGAGTTCAGCCAGCCGTGTACACGCGATTAAATTATCGGAATATCGGAATTGTATTACCGCCCTAAGTAAGGGTTGAACATTCCTTCGGCAACAGCTTCGGCGCATTTAACGGCACATTTGCCGGCGATCCATTTCTCCGATTTCCCGGCTGCGAAGTGGCGCATTCGGCGGAGGTACTCTTCGCACAAAGAAATACCCACCGAAGGGAGGAGAGAAAAACCGGGGAATAACGCGTAGAAAGGGAGTGAAAAGTGACAGTGGAGGGAGATTATTTCCCGGGGCCTCGCGAGGGGTGGCGGACGGAAACCGTAAAACGAGCCTGGGAAAAGCAGGGCGGCATTAAATTCCACGATTCTTACAAATTAACATGCGCCCCGTTAAGCGATTGAGGGTCGTTATAAATGTAAATCGACACCCTCCTGTAATAAATGGGAGCTCGTATGCGTGTCGTTGCGGCAGGTGCCGCAGGTGCGTAATCCGTTCGGGGACGACTCGCGGCACGGCCAGTTTTATACGACTTATTTAATGAACAGTTTCTGCCGGAAGTGTCCCTGTCGCACCCGCCACGCGGGAAAATAAGCTTTGACGTGCCACTTCATCCCCGGACACCCGAGAACTTCTCGCGTGTCGTGTGCGTGCATACTTCGACTCGTTAAAAGTTGTCCGCTCTGGCACTTTGCTAATCGAGTGTCGCCAAGTCCACTCGGTCGGTGTCTTCTGTGACAGCATGTGGAAGTCGGCAGCAGAATACATGGAAAGTGAGCTGTTTCGCAAAGTTGGACGCGTGGACGATGTCGTTTAAATTTTTAGTTATCGCCACGTCCGTCTTCGTGGAGAAAAAAAAAAAATAAATTGAATGGCAAATTAAACAAAGTTTTGTACGTAGTGATAATGGTATTTATGATTGGGTTCAGAGAATGGAAGTTCAAGAAATTTCCGCAAAAGAGTACTTTATTAGAAAGTTTGATGCGTGGTAGAGGTTCGTTAATTTCTAATTAACATCACCCCCTGTATATTTTCTATACTTATTATTGTATAAGAAGGGTTGCATTTAATGTAAAATTAAATCGACCTCAGACAGGGTAGTGATAATGGTATCAATGATTGGGTTCAGAGAATGGAAGATCAAGAAATTTCCGCAAAAGAGTACTTTATTAGAAAGTTTGATGCGTGGTAGAGGTTCGTTAATTTCTAATTAACATCACCCCCTTCATATTTTCAATACTTATTATTGTATAAGAAGGGTTGCATTTAATGTAAAATTAAATCGACCTCAGACAGGGTAGTGATAATGGTATTAATGATTGGGTTCAGAGAATGGAAGTTCAAGAAATTTCCGCAAAAAGAGTACTTTATTAAAAAGTTTGATGCGTGGTAGAGGTTCGTTGATTTCTAATTAACATCACCCCCTTCATATTTTCAATACTTATTATTGTATAAGAAGGGTTGCATTTAACGTAAAATTAAATCGACCTCAGACAGGGTAAATGCTAATACGTTAATGTTCATGTTTGGTGCAAGGTCTTGTGTTTTAACCATGTATTTGCTGGCGAGACGGCAACCCTTAATAAAGCCGTACATTAATAATTAAATTTGCGGTATTACCGACGTTATTTATCATATGTAAGCAGAGCTGAGGTACACGGGGTATCTCGACTAACCGAGCATCTCTCCGAGAACCACCTCATGTACAGTTTGGACATGTACCTATGCATACAATATGAACATATCTACTAGCTGCATGTTACGTACTACAAGCTCGATCTTTAGAATTCGAATTGTAATGAATAATGGTGCCATGAACGTCGTTTATGACCCTCTGAGATTTTATTACCCAACATTGCCTATGAAACATTCTCTACCTCTTTTTATCAATGTATTGCGTGCGATGATAACCTGTGACGATCATAAAGTAATTCTTTATCATCAGCTTTAATGCACGGATGACATAATGCAACTCATGACTCATTTCTTAAACATATGTACACGTCTCAACCCTTGACTGAATTTCGTGTAACTTACTTTACATCAATTAGCAAATTTTAATAAAGCTTCCGTTTATTGCCTGAAAATTTAATTCGAGAGGATACCAGTGCGAAAATGCGTTTATCTCCGTTCGCGTTATTACGTCGTCCGAATTATTGAAATCAGGGGCAGCAGTAAAGCGTTTTAGAGGGGAATTAAAATGAGACCAACAACATTTTTTCCGCAACATTTAGCGGGAGAAACTTTGAGCGGTGCTTTCAACGGCACACCTTCTTCTGCTGAAAATGTGTGTGTCAATCAACTTTACCACCTGCACGGGTCGTAACGCCGATGTTTCCAAACTTTTTCGTTATATTCTTTTGTTTCCGTGAACTTACGGCAGACATAATGAGAGAAAAAGTTTACATCGGTCCCGAGACCGTCACGCGATCGCGCGTCAAACTTCTTGAACTTCGCTTGAAAAGATAATTTACAACTTGGCTGCCCGTTTGCTCCATTAGTGCACTAATAAAATAGTATTCTGCCCCCCGATATTGAATACCGACTGGCCGATAATCAAGAACTATTCCATTTAATTCTGCAAATTGGTACAGTGAGCTCAACTTGGAGTGACGACATTGTTAAGATCCA